TTCAGGTAGGGTCGCAACTGGCGCACCAGGCGAACCTGGGCGAATGCCCCCCTGGTCACAGCCGTCAAGTGGTGGTCAAACGATAGCTGTGGATAGATTAGATAAATTAGATTAGATAAAAAATCTAACCTTTCTAACTTTATAATCATAAGTTAGATTTATTGCTGTAATATGATGAAAAGGCCATACTCAACAGATTTACACAACCTATATGAGAATAACATCATCTATTTTTTTTCAGATAGAAATGAATGTTCCAGATGTGAAGACAAATTCTATCCAAACAAGAAACGTGATTTTTGTATTCCCAAAACTATTACATTCCTGACTTATGGAGAACCATTAGGGATCACTTTAGCCTGTCTTGCTCTTGCTTTTTCTTTGTCTACTCTTCTTGTGCTTGGAGCATTTATGAGGCACCACAATACTCCCATCGTTATAGCCAACAACCGGGACCTCTCCTATACACTCCTCATTGCTCTCCTGTTCTGCTTCCTTTCGGCACTGCTCTTCATTGGCCAGCCAGGAAGATTTACATGCCTCCTCCGACAAACAACTTTTGGTGTGGTCTTCTCAGTGGCTGTTTCTTCAATCTTGGCAAAGACCATCACAGTGGTTCTGGCTTTTATGGCCACCAAACCAGGATCCAGAATGAGAAAATGGGTGGGGAAAAAATTAACTAATTCCATTGTTGTTAGCTGTTCCCTGATCCAAGCAGGAATTTGTACTCTCTGGCTATCAATTAACCCTCCATTTGCAGATGTTGATATGTTTTCAATTACTGAAGAAATTATCCTGCAGTGTAATGAAGGCTCTGTGACCATGTTTTATTTTGTTCTTGGCTACATGGGTTTCCTGGCTCTTATCAGCTTCATCACAGCTTTTCTTGCCAGGAAATTACCTGACAGTTTCAATGAAGCTAAGTTTATCACCTTCAGCATGTTGGTCTTTTGCAGTGTTTGGTTGTCCTTTATCCCAGCATACTTGAGCTCCAAGGGAAAATACATGGTGGCTGTGGAGATCTTTTCTATCTTAGCTTCAGGTGCTGGACTTTTGGGTTGCATCTTTTCCCCCAAATATTATATCATTGTGTTTCGGCCAGACCTGAACAACAAGGAGCAACTAATGAGAAGAAAGGACTGATCAATATAATCACTCTTTTATTCTCTTTCAAAATTTAATATAGATGTTTCATTGCTATACAATATAGAATATTCATTGAAAAAGGTTTCAAAAGGTTTAATTTTAAATTCTACTCTATCATTTCTACTAATTCTGTAAGAATCAACTATAAAGTATAGTTAGCATGCCTAAAATATAATAAAGATATGCAATCTCATGGTGTTTCTCCTTGTCTCAGTGATAGCTAGACAGCTGTGCAATGCCTCAGCAGCAACACTATGTCTCCATTTCATAGGCAGTAATTTAAAGGAATTGGCATCTTGTTCTCAATTCAAAGAGGCTGCCAATCATTATCATTCAGATAGCTATAGCTCCACCATTGCTACAACCTCAAACAGTTATGCAAATGGGCCTCTTGTCTACAATTCAGCATCATCTGGTTGTACAGATAGATCAAAATCATCCACTTGTATAAAGCAAGCTGCACTAGCAACTAAAGGAGCTGCAATATGGGACATTAACTACTGTTCCTTAAGAGTTCAATATTAGCCTTTAGTTTAATCAATTGTACTGATTGGTTGCTAATCATATTTTTATTTCTGGGCTCCCCTAATTGTATATCTCCTTTAAAATCCATGTCATCTGATGCTATTTGTACTGTCACTGTAAAAGACCTTAATTCATTCCTGAAATGAGGAATGGTGAATAATACATTTTTTTGAAATAAGTTTCCATTCTCACATGAAGTTGGAAATTGACAGACATGAGTGGAATGTCAACTTTGATTACAATCATGGAAATCACTAAAAGAATAAGTAAAGCCAGGCAACAAAAATTAACACAACAAGGCATTTGTCAATAATTGATTGCCAAGCAGTGTCCCCCCTTCCATTCATGAGACATTTCACATATCTGGTGGAATTAGCAATATATTGGGTAGCAATCAAAATCAGCAAGCAACAGGGCCACCAAAGGGTTAACAGATAAAGAAATTGAAACTTTTTTATTAGCTATGTCCTAAATGGAGATAGGATGTCTAAGTTGGATAGAATGGCTAAAATACAACGAACAAAATCTATGTCTCTATGGAACTCATAAAATTGATGACATTGTCCAAGTGACACAAAAGTAGCCACAAGTGCCCCCTCCAGCTCTAAATGATAGATTACCACGCTGCCCAGTCCAATTGCTGGGTGCTGGTAGAGTTCTCCCATTTTGTTATGTTGAAGGGGTTCATCACAACTTCCCCTGTTTAATTATTCTGATTTGTCCAAGATTCTATGATCACAAACAACCACAGACATACCAAACTAATCAAGGGCCTTACTGTGATGCTTCCCCAGATGCTTGGAGAACAAGGAAGGGCCAGCTCCAGGAACTTCAGAGGGAGGAAAGGAGGAGCATCAGGAAGATAACAAGTCCTCCAAGGCAGGAGTGGAAGGGATAGAGGAAGAAGTGAAGCTAGAAGCCTTGAAAGAGGCCTCAGAAGAACAAGCATCTGGCTGGAGAGGAAAGGGGTGAAATGCAGTTAGAACAGGGTGTCAAATTCATATCATCACAGTGGTGTCACATGACATATCATGACTTTTTTCCTTTGCTAAACTGGGCATGGTTGTGGCCAGTGTGTGATGCTGGGAATTTGATACCCCTGGGTTCAAGTTGAACAATCATAGCTGCAACTGGTCAACAGGTCTAAGGAGGAATTGCCTCCTTCAATGGATCTCAGAACATAGAGCTGAATGGAGGGAGGTGCAATGGAGGTCAATGAAGGTACACGCAAGGGGGCAACCTTGCCCCTCCTGATGAGTTTCATCAATGCATGCCTACGTAGCCTGACACATAGAGCAACACAATGTTGCTCCCATTTTCTCTGCCATGTGTGTGCTCCAAATCCATGACTCTGATTATCATGACTTTGTACATGTGCTTTATGTGACATCATGTTTGGATTTTGGACCTACGTCTTGGACTTTGGACCTCTACCTTAGCTTGGATTTACTATTATGGACTCTAATCTGTGTCTGGATTTTGGATTGTATGTGTAGACTTGTAAACTTGTGCCTTTAGCTGTGGACTTTGCAACTCTGTGCCTAGGCTGAACAGACATGGATACAGTAGCTGATGTGAGTGGAACCTGGAGAATACTAAAGAGGACTTGTAGTTCTTAATAAAGTCTTTAAAGCTCCCCATGTGTGTGGACTGGAACAGGACACCTCACATGTCAGAGGACACACACAATATCTAATTTATCTCCACGTCCTATGTTAATGAACTTCACCCATTGGCATGCAGATCTGAAATCAGAATGGCCTCTCTAATTCACTGCTATCATTTGATTTGAGGTCAAGGAGATGAGATAAAGCAATCTAGATAAAGCAATCACTTGAAGATTTGTACAAGTGCATGTATGAGAAGACAGTGATAATAACACTAGCAAAAAGAAATATTTTGCACTCTTATTGCATTGACTGAATGCCACTCAGCTGTCTTTCTTAAGGTGATTGTCTCCTTAAGATAAGGATGTTATATATAGAGCCGAGGTGGCGCAGTGGTTAAATGCAGCACTGCAGGCTACTGCTAGATCAGCAGTTC